TAAATTTGTGTTAAAGGGGAGTTAAAGCGCATTATGGACTTGGTTATTTTAATAGTTGGTTAATGCTAGATAGATTTTGATTATTATATTTGTAACCCTGTGTTCAGCTCTGGGAAGTGGGGGAGGGGGAGGGAGGGGTTTTGGGGTGGGTATGGGGGTTTATACTGTAATCTTCATAAAACTTTTAATAAAAAAAAAATACCAAGAGTTGTTGCAGCATAGCAATATGTTAAATAAATAAATAAATATTTTTTTTAAAAAAAATATCTGCAACACCAGATGGAGCTCCAACTGTTTTCATCAGAATTTTCATTCAACAGAAAAGGAAATTATCCCCAAACCTGTGTCACAGTGGCTACCAATCCATCCTTCTTCACACATGCACTGGCCTGGTTTGACACATGTCCCATGCAAACAGCCAGGGAAAGGAACACACTGATCACAGAGGGGGCCTTGCCAGCCAGGTCGACATCTAGCAAAAACACAATACGAGATAGCAAATCAAGCTAAGATCTTTTTGCAAATAGAATTAAGAAGCTAGATACTATATACTTTAGATAAAATTATGGTAATAAGATTCCTTATTCTGATTAAAAGCAACTACAGAATACTGATGTAGTTTTCTTAGTGAAAATTCCATGATAATCATCTCATGAATACACTTTTCATCACAAAGACAACCCACACTGCATGGCCATGTGCAGTCTCAGTGCTTTTCTGCAACTCCCACAGTTACCCAAGATTTTGATGCTGAAATCTGCTGGCAAGTAGCAGTTTTATGATTTTCCATTTTCTTTTTAAAATAACATTAAAATAGAGTCCAGTGCTCTGAACACATCTATTTCAGTTAAAGTTTCCCAATAAATGAAGGGGGGGGGGAGATTTGTCAGTGAACCGAGCATTGTCATTGTATCCTGGGCATTATTTCAGTATATATGAAAAATAGTTTATAAATGCATCAAATATACATGATTCTAACTAACACCACCAATGGCAGAATACGTGAATTATGCATAATCACATTAATGAACCATGTATTAGCACATTATTGTCACTAGCACAAAATTCCAATTATTATATAATACTACAACATAGCAGCTAGTAGTTTTATGCCACCTATTTGTATGAATGGACATGTATGAAAAAAGGAGTGTGGGAAATTTACTCACAGCAGAACAAAAAAGCAGAAATGTAACTTAGAAAAATGTCAACTTAATGAACCATGTTATAAATTCATATCAGATTGAAGACTTCAAAGAAGACACCACAAGCTAAGTTTTCAAAGAAATAGATGACTCACAAAATAACTGAATGAGACTAAGTCACTAAGATAGAAAAGTGTCATCAAGAGTGAGAAAAGTGCCAAGAAAAATTAGCCAAGCTTTTAAGGGACTGTCCATTAAAGTACCGCTTTATAAAACCTTAGTAAGAACGCACTTGGAATACTGCATCCAGTTTTGGTCACCACATTACAAAAAAGATGTTGAGACTTTAGAAGTGCAGAGAAGAGCAACTAGAATGATTAAAGGCTTAGAGACTAAAACATATGAAGAACAGTTCAGGAACTGGATATGGCTAGTCTAGAAAAAAGAAGGATTGGAGTGACATGATAGCAGTATTCCACTGCCACAAAGAAGAGGGGGTCAATTTATTCTCCAAAGCACCAGAGGGCAGGACAAGAAACAATGGATGGGAAATGATCAAGGAGAGAAACAACCTGGAATTAAGGAGAAACTTCCTAACAGTGAGAACAATTAACCAGTGGAACAGCTTGCCATCAGAAGTTGTGGGTGCTTCATCACTGGAGGTTTTTAAGAAGAGACTGGACAGCCACTTGTCTGAAATACATTTGCACCCACTCAGGTGACCCTGAGGACACAGATAAGCCTCCAGGTAGCATTAAAAGAATAGTTTTAAAAGTAGTTAAAAGAATGCAAATGAACAGCTGTCTGCAAGGAGTCCATTCCCAACCATCCAGTCAGAGCTGAAGAAGCTTCTTGGATGAGAAGTGAAACATCTTCAAAGAAAAACAAGAAAGTCCAGTTGCCTCATGAAAAAAGCATGTTCGGGATAACTATGACCTGGATGACTGAGAATCCCCATAGATATAAAGCAGCAATAGTGCTTAATTAAAATAATATGTTGTCCCTTGTTTTTTATCCTCTGGCAAAATGCTGTCAATTAACTTACCTGCATTCATTGGAAACCTCACAAAATCCATTCACTGGATGACAACCAGATTTGCAATCAGTGCCTAAAAAAAGAAATTGCTATGTTACATTTTAGAAATTCTTAAAAACTTGTCTGCAATGACTTTAGATTAGTAAACTTAATGACACAATATATTAGCAATACACTCTAGACATTCTGGGACTTTAGGCAAAGTCGTATTCTGGTGCCCTGTATGGTTTGGCTCATCTTTTAATTTTGTTAGGAATGTTTTAAAAAATGCCCTGTTGTTTCTTTTTTTTTCCACGTTTTTGAGCTTTACAGTGACGATTTTCAGCCCTAGATGACTTTTTTTTCTTTTCTAAGACATTTTCACCCTAAGTAAATAATTTTAATTACATCAGCACTCATTGTTGTCGTACGGCAACAATTCTGCAAAATTTTATTTCCTGGTGAATGGGCATGCAAGTTCACAGAATGCACAGTTACTGCTTTTTGCTTTTTTATTGTGTTTTTCAGAGGGTTTTTTTTTTTGATACCCCTAAAATTTGGCACCCTAGGACAGTGCCTATTCAGCCTTAGCAATATAGTGTTTCACTGAAATATGTAGACATAATTTAAAAACCTGTAGTCACTTTGTAGTTTTTGAAATTTGCATGTGAATACACTTTCTTATGGAGCCAGATCAACTAGTACAGTACAACTGTTGGGAGAAACAATGGGAGGGAGGGAGGGAGGAAATGATATTGATCGGCATGGATTCTGACCAATTGCACTTCATACTGCTACAGTCTGTTTCAAGTCTTCCTATTAGAATTGTATAACAGAGTTAGTAATGCTTTTTCTTTGATCGTTTTTGAACAAATGCGAGCATCTGAAACCCACAGAGTATTATTTCCATATTGTAGCTTCTACTGAAAGCATATAAACAAGACTTTGGGTGTGAAGTGACTGAGATTCATCCCACAAGGAATATTTAATGCAACTTTAAATGGTAGATTCATGTTCAAAGCTGAAAAGTTTTTACTCAAAATGATTTCGCTTTCAATTTAATCCACAACACCAATGTTAAATAAATCCAACATTCCTCAGTTTGATATTAAGTAATTGAGAAAAGGAAAAAAAAAAGCATAAGAATTAGAAGTTAATTATATTGCCACAATAGTAAATTATAATGCCTAAAACAATTTAGTTCACTCAAAACAGGGTGAGAGAAGCAATCCTGCATCTGTCCCAATGAACTTGCCTCAATGAACTTCAGAGGATAAAGTAATATATAATCTTAATTGACCTTGAATCTTGTTGCACTCAATGGGACTTCGGGGAAAAAAATTATACAAGATTTAGCTATTTGATATTGCCACAGCATATCTTACTGTGCGATTGTAAGCTATAGCTAAAACTAGAATGTCAACTAACATTAGTACATAGGACATATAATTGATTCAAAGGATGAGACCTTTAAAGACCTAGGATAACATGATATGATCTGACACGATAGACTGAGTGCCGTGACTGCAGGAGTCTATGATTTTACCTTGTATTCACATGTGATTTTGTGCAAGATTTATAACAGAATTGAACATGCTTCCATTTTTGTCAGCTTTGTCAAAATATCTACAAATCAAAACATACATTAGGTTGCAATCCTACTGATAGCTTTAATTCATTTGGAATCTAGCTGGACTAAGGAGCATATAAATTATAATAAATTAATGATCATTGTGATGGGTAGTCCATAAAAGTTCCATTCCCATTGATTTCATGGGAAAAGTTAACTGCAGGGTGATAACACTGAAATATATTATGCTTAAATAAGCTAGAGTTAACGTGCAAAATTTCAGTCTATAAGATGTAAAACATAACACATGTTTTACACAACATAATTCAAAGAAAAATCATGTCTGGGAATTTCAACTTCTCACTGATGATTTCCATTATAAGAGATAAAAAACACAAATGACTGGTGCTCAGATATGCTGGAAAAAAACACACTTCAGTGTAAGAAAAGATATGGGCATTTCTGGTTCTAATTTAAAATGAAACTAAATGCCACAGAAAGTTTGTCATATCTTTGCAGCTGCGACTCAGTGCATTAATTAACGTTATCTGAACACATTACATTCCTAACTCCTTTTCAGCTCCTAAAACGGTTGAAAAATAAGAAAAAAAATGTCATTATCCAAGACAAGCTTATTATTGATGTCTAAAATTGTTATCCTATAACAAAACCTTCTATATATGTGTGTGTTTTATATATATATATATATAACACAGAGAACTGAGATTCCCACTGAAGTACCAACCCACGTTTCTAGAACAGCCAACTAGCTGTAGATAATAAGAGTTGTAAAGTCGAGAGCATCGGACTGAGGACAGGTAAGTTAGCCATCCCGTTCCACCAACCCGACCTTTCACAAACCCGAGGGTCACATTCAACAAAAACCTGAAGAAGAGCAAAACTCTCAAAAACACATTTCCTTGAAAAGTACGTTCCAAAGCAAAGACCCCCCCAGGCGCATAGCCAAAAGAAAGTGGTCAGCCCGGTTTTTATGAAGAGTTTTGGAAACGTCACGTGAAATCAGCGGGGCTTACTTCCGAGGGAGCAGGGTTTAAAACCGTCCACAAACCCGTCGCGGCTCTGAAGCCCTCCAGCCGCTAATCCTGGTACACAGTACGGCGAGCTAGCGCCCATTCGCCCAGCACATATCCTACCTACACAGTATTCCCGCAGAAGCTAAGGCTGGAGCGCGCTTCAGTCAGCCCGGGACTCTCTTCTTACCTTGGGCCAGCGGCAGACAGACGACCAGCGGCCAGAAAAAGCAGCCCAGGTATTTGGCGGTGTGGGAATCCATCGCCAAACGTGCCCGGCGAGGGGGCTCATGCCCCAACTCCGACTGCCTACGAGGGAAAAGAAGACGGAGCCCGCCGCCGCGGCTGCACGCGGGAGGGGTATTCCCTCCGCCCAGGAAGTGCCCCGGTTGCCTTCTCCTAAAGGCGAGATTTCATGGAGATTTTTTTTTTTTTGTATGTTTGGTCATTTATTTTCCTTTTTTTTTTCCAGGAAGGAAAGGGAGGGGAACTTTCTGCCGCAGGGGGAGGAGGAGGAGGAGGAGGAGGAGGAGAGATGATTCTCGCTGCGAGAAATCCGGGCCCCACTAATATGGGGCGAAGCTCTTCTCTCCTGACCTAGGAAAGGGGCCAATGCATTCTCACGTTCGCGCTCCCACCTTGTTAAGTGCCTGCCTGGGAGGGGAAAAAAAAAAACAGGCGTAGGCGTAGGAATAGCAAAGAGGCTGACACGGAGGAGGGAGGTAATACAGTACAAAAAAAAAAAAAGTGGTCACGATTGCACTTCAGTTAGTTGGGTCTTTTCCCTGCCATCCTGACGTCGTGTATGTACTCCTCCCCGGTTCCACTTGTTGCCCAATAGTCCGCACCCCACCCATCTTTCCTGCGGCGACTGAAGGAAAGCCTCGGCGTGAGATGAATTTGACTCCTCCCCCACCCTCTCAAAACAGACTCGGTCCCTAGAAATGAAGCAGTCAAGATTTCCAGAGAAGACGCCTTGGCCGCTCAGGCCGCGCATCGGCGTTAAGGAGCAGCGGATCGCGCAAGCAGGACGCGTGGCGATTCTTTCCCCTATTGGTGGCATGGTTGTTCCGCTAGATTCCGGAGCATTTGCCGGCGAGAGATTGGATTTAGCTAATAGCACTTGCTTGATTTCCAACACCAGTTAAACGCTTTCTATCTTATTCCAGTCACGTTGAGAGCTTGTGGGGCAGCTTCCTTTGGAAGTCATCTGCAAAGATGTAATGGAAAGGTAAATGGAAAAAGGCCTTCCACCGATTTGTACAATAATAAACATAGAATCATAGGGCTGAAAGGGACCTCAGAGATCTTCTAGTGACTAGAAGATCCTGCTCAAGGAAGGAGACGTTATACCATCCTGGTTAAATGGTTATCCAGTCTTTTTTAAAACCTCCAGTGAACTTGCTGCCCACCTTATATCTCTCTTGACAAGTTTGACCTTCAGATTCCACTGGTGTTGTTTTTTTTTGTCTGAGGGTTATTTAAGGTTTGATATATTAAGGGAAACCCTTGAAGACCTGGCTCCCTTCAGTCCAAGAAGCAAAGCCATTGGGCAGAGATCAGGATGGTTCTAGTCCAGCATTAAGAAAGCCCCAGAGTCCCACTCTACACAGCCGTATGTTCTTCTTCAACCTAACACCAGATGATTTTGTGGAAGATCCATAACCTTTCAGTTGCTTGCAAATGATAAGGTTCTTTAAGAAGATGCACAACTGTTCATTTTTCAAAATGCATTTTATTTCTCAGTTCTCCATAGGACCTTAGGAGAAAATGAATCTTGATTGTTTCAAAGTTGCAGCCCATCTGCATTTTTTTATACAGTCTGTGAAAAGTCAGTTTATCAAGCAGATTTTTGCTTAAGAAGCATCATTCCCTAGTTTCCATACTGGTGAAAACTAGTGGCAGACTTAAACTTATAATCTTATGATGTTTAAGTTGTCAGTTGGTTAGGTAAATTAATTCCAAAAAAGCAAATTATTAAAAAAACTAAAACTAAAATACAGTTAGATTTGTTCAGGAATAGGAACAAGTAAGTAAAGAGTTGTGTTCATTGTATAAATATAAGTGTTTACTTAAGCTACTAAACTACTAATTAGAACATAAAAACATTAGTGTTGCCCTGATAGTTCAGAACCTTAGCCCATCTGGTCCAGCAGCCTGTTCTCACAGTGGGCAACCAATTACACAAGGATGCCCCTTGTCTTACAGAAGATGGCCTTCAGAGGCAATACCACCTGGTATCAAGCCATTGATCCTCATGACTTTCATGAATTGGTCCAACCCTTTTTTTGAAACCAACCAACCAATCAAGCTTCCTACATCTCAAATTCCAAAGTTTCATTATGTGTTGTGTAAAAAAAAAAGGCCACTTGTCTGTCAAATTGTTAAATCAAGTCAGTGATATTTGACCAAGATTTATTTGACTGACGATCAAGTGACATCCACCTAGCTTGCGTGCTACAGGGAAAAAAAATGGCTAACCTTTTCCAGCTCTTATGGTGCCCCTGCAGTAGCCTGAAGATACCTTTGGGTGGATTAATGCAGAATTTGTGCTTTTCTTCTTATTCCAGGCAAAGACTTTCTGTTCTGAGATCCATGCTGAATGGAGGGGGAGATTTGAAGTGATGTGGCCAGAGGCAGCAAGTTGGTTGGTCTCCGTATGGCAAATTTGCTGTGGAATTGCTCCTTCCATCCAGTCTTTAGAAACAGCAGCTGTACTTCAGTGCTGATTTGACTGCAAGGCAAACCAGAAATCCAGCTTCTGCAGTCATTTAATTTCCCCTTTTTAAATAATCCACAAAGAAGTGAAACCCTGAAATTGACCAGTCTCTGCTTCATGCACGTAACTGAAATGATTTGCCTTTTTTGTAGCCTGTATGATATGGAATTCCCTTACCCGGTTGCTATTCCTTGCATGTTAAGGTAATTTACAGTTCCCGCCCAGGTCTTTAACACTTACTGGTTGTCTGCCTCTCTACACAATCCAAACAATCAATAGAGGGAAGCTAAGAGATATCTCAAACGCCAACTCTCTATTGCCATGTAGCGATCAAAAAGTCAATGCCTGGTTATAAGGAACCATAAAAATGTTCAGTTGATGATATGATGAAAAATACAACAAAAAAGGCATTGCATGGAATAACCACAATATTGTGCCAATTGGAAGAGGCTTTTCACATGATCAACAAATGAGATTGAATAGAACTGGAGTTTCAGCTGAAGAAATCCCTAGAATAGATCATGGCGTTATAATGTGTGTTAAAGCTGTATAGATGGCAGCAGAGATCAGACCTATTCTGGGTGCTCAGTAAAGGCATGTTGGAGGGGCAGCAAAATGTAGTGTGTCATTTTCCTTTATTAAAAACTGAAACGAGGTCGTGATTTGCTTTCTGACATTGACATGAGTTTGAACCCATTGAGTTTGATCCCCTCATTAAATTCTGGTTATCAAAGCTCTTTAAGGTTAATATTGTTTTAGGCTTTGTGTTTTCTCTACACTCAATTTCTTTACTCTGCCCAACCATAAACATTTTTGCAAGTGCAGGGTCTGCTTTTTTTTTTTTTTTACCAACAGAGTGTTCATCCATTGATTGTGACAACTGGCCCAAAGTCACCCAGCTGGATTTCATGTCTAAAGTGAGACTAGAACTCACAGTCTCCTGATTTGTGATCATTTTGCCAATTGGCACAGAAGAGCTTTAAGGCACAAAGTTCTATGAAAGTTTAAATAAATATGTGATTGGCAAGATCTTTCAAAATGTAAGAGCCTAACAAACGGATTTGGTTTCTCTGGCTCACAGTATAATGGCAGAAAATAATAATAGTCTTGAGTATTTTAAAATAGAAGCTATATAGCACATTCTCTCTTGTCAACTTTGCAGCAACGCTAAAGGAGAAGAGAGAGAGAGAGAGATTAATCACATTGCTTTGTTTTTTTTTAATCTTACACTGCCCCCTTACCTAGCCTGGTGCCTCCTGATGTGTTAGGTCATGATCCTTATCTGCTCCAGGAGTATGTGCAAAAAAATATTAAAGCAAAACGATGTTCAAAGAAATCAGAGTTAATATAATAATGTCTTTCTATAAGATATACTCCAGGTAAAAATATGTCTCCTTTCAGATCTTAAATAATTAACACATTTCTGCTTGTAGGAACACAATAGAAAATTGTACTGCCTGTGAGGTTTATGTTTTCTGTTATTTGAGGACATTCCCCTTCAGATTCCTCCTTCTGTCCCTTCCTATAAGTAGATAAAATCAGATTTCACCTTCCTCCTCCAACCTCAAGATTCTTTCCAGTGGCCTGACTTCATTTCCTCACTATTGTTCTTGTTATAAAATGCCTTCCTGGAGTTTAACCTAAGTCTTTCCTTTGCAGCCTAAAACCATTTCCTTCTTGGTGACAAAAAACCTCCAGAACAATAGACGGCTAAAATCATAAAAAGAAGTGGCCGAGGGAGCTGCATGTTCAGATCTGTCACTGTTCTTTTATTTTGAACAGTAAAGTACAGTCTTGGGAGTCACAGATTTAATCAAGTCCATCCATGATGTACCAAAGGTAGTAAAGTGGTACAAAACCTTTCTCTCTCACCCCCTCCCTCACATCTTCTTTCCTGAATCCTTTGCCCATTCAAAATACCCTGAAGTATTTATTTATATACATTACATTTTTATTCTACCTTTCATCCAGGAGCTCAAAGTATGTAAAGATAAAGATAAAGGTTTCCCCTGTCCAGTTGTGTCAAACTCTAGGGGTTGGTGCTTGTCTTCATTTCTTAGCCGAGGGAGCCAGCATTGTCCAAAGACATTTCTGTGGTCATCTGGCCAGCACAACTAAACGCTGAGGCTCATGGAATGCTGTTACCTTCCCACCGAAGTGGTACCTATTTATCTACTTGCATTTGCATGCTTTCAAACTGCTAGATGGGTAGGAGCTGGGGCAAGTAACAGGAATTCATCCCATTGCGTGGCACTGAGGACTCAAACTTGGGCTGTCAGCTTTCTGCCTAACTCCTGGCAGTCGGTTTGTGGAAAAGACTTTCTAATGGGACAAAGTTCTATATCTGTGGTATAGTTTATATATCTGTGGTATAAGAGTTTGATGCTGACCAGTTGAAGGTTGGTTCAGCCTTCCATCCTTCCCGAGATCAGTAAAATGAGGAGCCAGATTGTTGAGGGCAATATGCGGATTCTGTAAACCGCTTAGAGAGGGCGGTAAAGCATTATAAAGTGATAAGTAAGTCTAAGTGCTGTTGTTATTGCTATTGCAAGTTGAGGCTCCAAGGTTGCATCAAGTCTTGAAATGCTTGGATACTGTTTCAAGAT